CAATGGGCCTACTGTTCTCTCTCTCTCTCTCTCTCTCTCTCTCTCTCTCTCTCTCTCTCTCTCTCTCCCTAACTCCATGCCATAGGAATTATATATTTGTTTCTACAAATCAGTTCTTATGTGTTATTTTATATATAAACTAGTACATATAAAATATATGGTGTTCTTACAGTTAGGGGTGTTTATGAGTTAGGTTGATCAGGTTGAAGACATTTGAACAATTCAACCCAATGCTTGTGTTTTGAAAAATCTTAACCCAACTCAACCCAACCCAAACCGTATGGGTTAGTCGGGTTGATACTTTGGTACATTAAAATATTCTTCTAACCTTGAATATGTTATTTCTCTACTCATAATTTCTTTTTCATAATCAACCATTTGATACAACTTATTCATACTTTTTACGTATATCACATTCAATTAATTTTCTCAATTTACGCGTATATGTTTACAGTTACTGAACATATATACGAATGCATTATATAGAGATGTGAAGAGATTGAAAAGATGTGTATATGAATAACATACGTGAAGTGTAATTATCTAGTGTATATATTAATATAAATTCAACAATCATATTAAATCCAAGAAATAAATGGATATCGGGTTCATCGGGTTGGGTTCAAATAATAGTAACCCAATATTAACCAAATACCTACGGTTTGAAAATTTTACAACTCGATTAGATATCAGTTTGCTTCGGGTTGAGTTATTTCTCGTTGGGTTGGATTGGTCTGGTTGTTGAGCACCCCTACTTACAGTATTGTTTTATATATGAAATATTCAGGACTATTTTATATGTAGAAAAACACGAAACTACGTTTCGTATATGAAGCACATCAACATGTAAAAGGAAAAAATCATATGAAATAATATAAATCGTAACTTAAAATCAAACTGAATGGATGTTTTGGATTTGATTTCACAAATTTATAACAATTTACGGCTTTTATTTGATTCTGACTATAAATATATGTAGTGATAAATCAGATCTCCATGGCATTATCATAGATTCTTGGTTACGTTTATCATTAGTTGAAGACAATATTATCTTCGGGGAATGAAAACAAGGAGCCATGTCAGTCGATCAAGTGCATTGATCTCTAATACGTTAATTCATGTAGTATCTTGAGGTCTACTTTGAAAGCTTTGTAGGACACTTAAGATAATGAAGACCCGTTAATTAATGAGAGTCATCTTCAAACTCCATTTCAGAATGGTTTGTTCGTGCATTGGTGTTGAGTTCTTTGCAAGCCCTCGTTAATGCAGGGGAAACAATTGATTGTGATGGTGTTGTTTGTGGATACGAGGGGCACTGATCATTCTTATATCTAAATTTGGTGGTGGTGCTTGTCGTTACAATGGGTGGAAATGATTAAGCCGAAAACCATACGAGGGAGGATGAGAAATAAAAAATGATGACTGTTGTAGCAATGGTGGGCAATGATCACCACCACTTCCACATCCACCTAAACCAAAACGATCATTGATTGGGCCCGGTGTTAGAGATGCAAAACGGAGGCGTTTTGATGGTGGTGATGTTGGTGGCAGCGATGGTGGAAATGAAACCAGGGGTGGTGGAATAGTGAAAAGTGGATCATGGAAACGTGGACAATCGGATGTGATTTTGGCCCTATTCAGCTCCCAATTGGTCTTGACATTTGGAACATCACGAAAGATTACTCTATGAATCCAGAAATGACTGCAGTTCTTGTAGAAATAGCATGGTTGCGACACATCCTTGTTGTTATACTAAGAAAACCTGGTGTGATGGGAGGTGCAACGAGGGCAACTTGGAGGAGGAAGGGAAGGCGTGACGATGCGAGACTGCTTTGCACTCATTTGATCAGACATTTCTTTCTTGACAGTAGAAACTCTCACTCGTATTTGATTTTTACTTTCTTTTGTACGATATTGTTTCCAATTATTTCAAGTCTATTTATAGGCAGTTTATTTGAGGTATGACGGCTAATTGAAAGCTAAGGAAAACGTGTACGCACATAGTATACAAAACAACGTTGTCACGACCTTTTTTTCTAATACAACAAAATTTGCTTTAAATCCTAATAAGTGTAACTAATATTTTTTCCTCAATCAATGTAACAATTTTTTTATTATGTAACCATTTTTATCATTACTCTGTTGATCTTGTAACATTTGATGACGTGGAGCCAAGTGTCAAGTTGTAATTATTGAAATAATAATAATGCTGGATCGACATGTTACTGGGAAAAAAATATATTGACTAACAACTTGACATCCAAGTCGTAAAATGTTACAAGATCAACATGCAGATTACCGATTTGAGTAGGAAAATGAATATTTTGAAATTTTATTATATTGCTTGAGAGTAAACGCTTACCATGGTAAGAGTCGTCACCTTCACTTACCGAGTAAGACCCTCGGTCCTTGTCTTTCTGTTATCGGGTAAGATTCTTGGTTCTTATCATATTCATTCGATAAGGTAACATGACTTGGTAAATGCTTACCCAGGTAAGTGTTTGATAAACTGCCCCTTAGACTTCAATAATTAACATATTCATTTCTAGTTTCATGGAGTTAAAGTTTTTGACCCTCTGGTGTCTAACTCTAGTTAACAGAGGGTGGGGCGAATTTGTACAAATATAAGAGAGGTCTAGGTTTTGAACCCTCCATGGTTAACCTCAACCGCCAAGTGTGCTAAAAAATGTTCTCTCACATTACTGTCCTTAGAAGAGGATTCCGTGTGTAGTCAATTGAGGTTGGCAATAATCAGTTTTTTGACAAAAAAAAAAATTAAAACTTTTTAATTTAATTTAATTAATTAAATGTTGTTAATTTATGTTGGGGTCGACTAATCTCATATATGATAAAGAACTTTTTTGTGTATGCAACAAATTCAAATCCATTTTTTTTATTAACCTGAATATCCAACCCGTTATGCGAGCTGACTATCTTAGGGCGACCATCTGCTTTGCAGATAACCCAGAGTCACCGTATTTGAACCTTCGTGATCATAAAAGGATTTTTATTCCTCCTTAAATTTGAACCTAAAGCCTCCTGGTATTTTTGACTTTTTGAGGCAAACTCAAATCAATCCGACACTACCTTTTGGTTATTTAAATCCATTTATTTTGTTTACCAAAAATGAGATGCAATAAATATTATAAAACAAAAAGTTGTACATTCATTAATTGAAAAACATTGGACAAGCAATAAATGCTGATTCTCCATCAATGTCACCAATTTGTAAGTCAAAGTCAACAAACAGTTGTTGTTGATTTTGATTATTTAAATTATCATTAATTATATTAATTACTTTCTTATTATTATTTAAATATTAAAAGTATTTTTATATGTTATATAAATATTAAAGTTATATTTTTTTTATATTATAAATAATAACAC